GTGGTGAGTTCCACTCAATTGACTGTTCCACAATGATCCGTAATGTAGCAATTTAGTCAGTACACGATCGATCCTTACGAAAGGCAGTCTGTTGATCTCGAAGTTGTGCGTATGCAAAGTCCTTCATCCTGTTAAACAACACCCTGTTGAAGTCTTCGCCTGATATTGAGAGGAGAGTGATGTCTCTGTAGTTCTGAAACTTGCTGAGATCGCATTTCTTTGGTAGTTTGATCAGGCTTCCTTCTTTCCAGTCTGCGGTACTTGTTCTTCATCCTAAATCTTATTGAGGAGAATGTGGAGTATTCGTGCAGTCGCTTCCCAATCTGCTTGCAATTACTTGGTTACTTACTTACGCCTGTTTCCCCCAATGGAGCATAGGCCGCCCACCAGTCTTCTCCAACCAACTCTGTCCTGGGCTTCCCTTTCTAGATCTTCCCAGTTCGTTCATTCTTCTCATATCTTTCTCTATTTCTTGGCGTAGTGTGTTCTTCGGCCTTCCTCTTTTTCTTTTGCCTTGAGGGTTCCATGTGAGGGCTTGTCTCGTGACGCAATTAGGTGCTTTCCGCAATGTGTGTCCTATCCACTTCCACCGCTTCTTCCTGATTTCCTCCTCCACTGCAATCTGGTTTGTTTTCTCCCGCAGCACGTTGTTGCTGATGGTGTCTAGCCAACGAATCCGAAGTAGTTTGCGTAGAAAACTGTTAATAAACACTTGTATCTTCTGGATGATGCCTTTCGTAGTTCTCCATGTTTCCGCTCCATACAGTAGAACTGTCTTGACATTTGTATTGAAAATCCTGATTTTGATTTTGGTTGAATGTTGTTTGGAGTTCCAGATATTTTTCAACTGTAGAAATGCAGCCCTTGCTTTGCCAATCCGCGCCCTCACATCTGCATCGGATCCACCTTTCTCGTCGATGATGCTGCCCAGATATGTAAAGGTGTTGACGTCCTCCAAGGCGTCTCCATCAAGAGTGATTTGGTTGGTGCAAGTTGTGTTGTATCGTAAAATCTTACTTTTCCCCTTATCTATGTTGAGACCTAGTGCTGGAGAGGCTGCTGCCACACTGGTCGTCTTTTCTTGCATTTGTTGTTGAGTGTGCGATAGAAGAGCCATGTCATCTGCGAAGTCCAGATCGTCCAGCTGCGTCCTAACTGTCCAGTTGATACCGTGCTTCCCTCCAGATGTCGACGTTTTCATAATCCAGTCGATCGTCAGGAGAAAGAGAAAGGGTGAGAGTAAGCAACCTTGCCTGACACCGGTCTTCACCTCGAAAGAGTCTGTCAGCTGTCCTCCGTGTACGATCTTGCAGTTGAATCCATCATAAGATTTCCGTATGACGTTAACTATTTTCTCAGGCACATCGTAGTGTCAAAGAAGCCTCCACAGTGTTTTCCTATCCACGCTATCGAATGCTTTCTCGTAGTCGATGAAGTTGATGTAGAGTAGTGAGTTCCATTCTATTGATTGTTCCACAATGATCCGTAATGTAGCGATTCGGTCAGTACTCGATCGACCCTGTTGATCTCGAAGCTGTGCGTCTACGAAATCCTTCATTCTGTTTAACAATACCCTGTTGAAGACTTTGCCTGGTATTGAGAGAAGAGTGATGCCTCTGTAGTTCTCACACTTGCTGAGATCGCCTTTCTTTGGAACTTTGATGAGGTACCCTTCTTTCTAGACTGATGGTACTTGTTCCTCATTCCAAATCTTCTTGAAGAGGATGTTAAATATTTTCGCAGTTGCTTCCATATCTGCTTTCATTGCCTCTGCTGGAATGTTGTCTGTTCCTGCTGCTTTGCCGCTCTTGATTCGTCTGATTGCCATACTGATCTCCTCAATCGTAGGTGCACCAATATTAATTAGGAGGTCCGTGGATGCTGCTACGATGTTAGTTGGGTTCAGTGGGGCCGGTCGATTGAAGAGTTCCTTGAAATACTATACTCGCCTGTTTCACTGATCTTCAGTGTTGCTGATTACTTTGCCTTCCTTGCTTTTCGCTGGTCGTCCTGGTTTACGATAGTTTGCTGCGAGCTTCTCTATATTATCTTATAATTGTCTCGAGTTTCCTTCTATTGCATCCTTTTCCGCCGTCATTGCTAGATATTCCGCGTATTTACGTTCGTTTTCCTGTTTGCCTCTGTGTATTTATCCTGTTCCTTATTTATCTCTACTCTTTTTCGGATGATGTTGATTGCTGCCTTCTTGTTCCTCCTTTCTTCAAGTTTTGAAAGAGTATCAGTGGAGATCCATTTCGTTTGATTGTAGTTCTTGCAGCCCAGAACCTCGTGACATGTTGATGAGACTGCCTCCTCGATCTTTCAGTCGTTGTCCATTGTAGTTTCTTTTACATTGAGTAGGTCGTGAAAGGCCTGGAACCTGCTGCTTACCAGTGTCCCGCAGAAATGCCGTATTAGACTTTTTGATGTTGTTCTCCCCGTTTTGTACTGCCTCTTGAGTTTCATTTTCATTTTGGCGACCGGCGAGTGGTGATCTAAGGCTAAGTCAGCTCCTACCTTGGTTCTCTCATCCTCCATGGTCATAGCGAACTTTTTGTTGATACAGATATTGTCGATTTGGTTATGAGTAGTGTGATTCAGTAAAATCCATGTGCCCTTGTGTCTGCGCTTGTGCGAAAATACTGTGTCACTTACGACCAGTTTCTTGAAAGTTTCTTGCCATTTTCGTTCCTTTCTGCCAGTCCATGTCGTCCTATGATGTTTTCATATCCAGTGTTGTCCATGCCAACCTTGGCACTTAGGTCTCCCATCAGAATGGTCAAATCCTTTGGTGAGCACCTGTCGACGATTGACAGCAGTCGTCATTGTAGTCATTGGTAGGTGCATAGCATTGGATGATGTTGATTGTCATGTCCTCTTTCTTTGTTTTGAAGGATGCTTTGATGATCCTGGGTCCATGAGATTCCCATCCTATGAGTGCCTTTTGTGCTTATTTGGACAGCATCAGTGCAACTCCTTGTGTATGTGAAGCATTTTCCTCTTCATGACCAGAGGATAACGGCAGCTGGTTGCTCTGGTTGTCGGAAGGGGCATCAGCCTCATGACTCTTAAGGGGACTAGGCTTTAATCATGAGACATTATAATTCTCCTAAAAGAAGACCTTCTAACTTCCATGACGGATTTGGGACCGGTACTATCCGCAGAGGAGCTCCAGGAGGATTTGAGGTTTCACTACCGCGAGCTTGAAAATTCTGTGCCTTGACGTCCCATGAGCCTCGAATATTGCACAAGAAGAAAGTAATTAAAGGAGTCGATGGAGTACCTAGAGTGACTATACTCGTAAATTAACCAACTAACCCAGGTAATAGTCAGCATTATGGAAAGACAGTATTACTGCATCTTTAGTGAGACGATTATGGCCTCGGATATTACGAAAATACTTCAGTGGTTTATGTACCATAAAGGTGCCTCCCTCCATTTCAAAGAAAACTTTTCATACTCTGGTCGTTAAGGCACCTGATGTCCTCGATCATTTGAACACACTTGATTCATGTGAATCCAGCAAAACTAGCTAATTTCATTGTAATTTCCGTAAGGTGATAGTTTGAAACTTCAAACTGACCTACGGAAGTTATCTGAATGTTCCAAAATTCGTGAGTAACCAATGATACATAGTGGTCGTCAACGTACAGATAAATAACACTGAGCTACGTGTTATCTAGACACACTATGATCTAAGAGTCATCACTAGCCAAGGCTAGAAAACTACTGAATATTTCAGTGAGGTAGCCGCCGAAGGTTACAGAACCCTACTGTCTATACTTAGAGCCTTTAGTTGTGTTGATCCTAAGACATGATTGACTTCATGTAACAGAAGTATTGCATACAAACCGCCAGTCCCTGTGTACCAAAAGATACTGAGCTGTTGGAGAGGCTCACAGAACCACATTTAAGTTGATTCCCAGAAACATAGCCGCCTTAACACAAGAAGGCGGTTTCAGTAGACCTACGTCCTTCATCATATAATAAGTTTCTAAAATCATTCAATATATTCACAACCACTGGATGATAGTGTAAAGGTTTGTTGGATTTTCTAGTGTTTCGTTCTTTGAGTCATAATTGTGGTCACACCAATTTTCTTTGCGTCCAGAAACAGGGAGCTTACGAGAACATTATAAAAAGAGTCCGCAAACTCAGGATAAATAACTTTTTAGTCGATTACCGACTATTCCATCGAAACCCTAACTAGTGGAACTTGTGTGGTGAGCGAGTCAAGATACCAAATTGACTATGCTCACCATACGGTGCTGTCATCATTAAAATCGAAAGAAATCCATCATCCAAGGTTTCATTGAAGGAGACAGTAGGCATTACATCGGGAACAGCAAATAGGGAAAAACGGCAGCAACGCGAAGAGAACGTTGTGCGCAAGAATTTGTAGAAGGGATTTTGGTGCAGTTAAACAAAACGAGTACAATAATGTTTATTTTTCACAAATCGTACTTTCTTCACAGAAGCGTTCCACTACACTTGTTACCCAAACATTTGACTGAAGCTCCATCTGTCCACGCATTCAGGGGAAGCAAGATCAGCTAAGCAATCTGAAATTCTAGGAGTAATTCATACCACCTAGCTTCCTGTTCTTTCTAAAATGAAACTGAAGCTGATACATAAATCCAACCGAGGGTTGAAACGAGAAGAAAAAATTAAGGAACTGCACCCATCAATATTTTACAGTACATATCCTGACAATTTGATCGAAAGACACCTTATTTTAAGAAAAGATACTCGTAATTGCAAAATAGTCTATAATTTCATGTTTTTGTTTAGGTCAATCAGATGCCTTGGAACAGCTTTTCGAAATAAGCGCTTAGGCGTACAAGGCTGTGCAAAGTTGCTCGATTGATGTCAAATAGTCGAAAATGTACTTATTGTGACCCTGATTCTCCAAAGTTTCAGAACCTTAGCTGGATATTACTTTGTCGTTGCAATGAAATTAGTGATGAATGTGAGCCTTGGTTACATATTTAATTTTTAAGTATTGGAATGGCGTTGGTGTAAACCCGAGTCTCCACTGCAGTCGTTCCAGCTGTCCGAAAATGACAAAACTGTTACATTTCATCCGACTATTAGTTGGGGCACTGCTGTTGTGCGTGGAACCGTCCTTTTAACTAATGGCATTCACTATTGGGAACTGAAAGCTGTTTCTCCGCTTTATGGAACAGATGTGGTTAGTTTCTACTAATAATAAATCTTTTTTTCAACCTCCGGATAATAGTGTAAGGGTTTATTAGGTTCTGTAGTGTTTCATCTCTAGTGTGTTTTTAAAACCTCAATAAGGTCCCTCTCAGAAGTCAAATAGAAGTAATGCTCAGCCTGTGTTTAACTACTGTCTCTTTGCGTAGTACTCATTCACTACAAGGAACAACACACCTCTTTGAGTGTGTTATGCCAATTACAGCGGGTTCCCGCGGTAGTATAGCGATATGAGCCCAATCGCCTAAAAGGTTCTATTCATAACCTCTACTTAAGTTAAACCTAATTACTTTTCGCTATTGATAAGTTAGGCGAAAATTTAGAAACATTCCATGTGCTGGAACATGTACAATTTTATTGTGTATAGACTTTATGGACGCTTCGTCAAATCGTCATCGGTCGTCAAATTATTTTATCCTAACAGCAAAACTGTAGTATCACAATCTCAATTCTTCTCACTGATTGAACTGACTTATATGTATTAAATGTGAAGTTTGTCCATGTAACACTGGTGGTATATCTCTTGGAGGTTCATTATATTGATACCTAAGTTACCTATTTGGTCCTGGATTCAGCAATCATGTATAAAACGTTTGGCTATTGTCCACCTTATTGGTTTGATTTGGAGTCTCAGGTGCCTCTGTTTTAAAGCAATTACATATGTCTACTGTCTCATGATTGAGTCTGATTCAGTTGCCATCAAAAGAGACATGGCCTAATTGCGTTTTACAGAGTCAATGTTTGACTACATAGTAAGTCTAACCTACATTGCTGCTGTACTTTGGCATTATTCAGCATTATTCAACCAGATGTGTTGTGATCAAGTTATGTTAAGTCGGATTGAAAAGTCAAGAAATATTCATTTGTATTTCGTGAACTATGAATCGGGGACAAGGTGGATGTTTCTGAATAAAATAATGCTTTTATATCGCACCTACAATAAAGTTTCGCAGCTTGTGTATCATTCTGGCAATATCTACTGTAGTAAATTTCATTCTACATTGCATACCTATTAGATGGTTGGAATCGGCCGAACTTGCGCAAAATTAGACCATTATACACGTGAATTCCGTTCTGTACTTGGCATTGATTGTGATTCATGGGGATTGAGTTATCGTGGTGCACTTATGCACGATGGCCAGACGTATCCCTTGGGGTCTTGTGCTTTCAAAAAAGGGAGCATAATTGGCTGTCTTCTCGATTTGTGGCACCGTAAGCTTTATTTCTACGTTGATGGACAGTTGAATCCAAACGCTTGTTTCAAGTAAGTTCTTTTTAATACTACAATATGATTGTAACTTGACGAAAAGTGGTGTTCGTCAGGGTAACCCACTGATCCTTTTTGTATCCGATTTCATCAGAAATGTCCTTCTATACATTACCGTTTTCCATGTACCTCTATATAGGTTGATCTGTTAGGCCATTCTGACTTTCCAGTTGTGGGCTCTACCAGGAGACACACTTATTGACTTAGAATATGCAGATGACAGTTCTACTATGGAGGCTGAACTGACAGTTGCGTCTCTGTGTTAATGTAGTGTGGCAAACTGAACTGATGTACGTACGTACGAAGTTCTACGTTGTAACTGACTGCCTGAATGTTAGGCGTGAAAATAACAGTTTTGTTTGTTGAGATCAGAAACGTGGAAATAACAAAATGAAAATCAAACATCGTAGTTTCCTGCTTTCTATATAATAAGGAATACAGAAAAGAACTCAAGTAAATACATACTTTTGGTAATTTCTCACTAGGGTTTACAACTACAAGCAGAAATATTAATTCAGAACACTTGTAACTAATGAATGATTTCGTCCGATGCTAGTCTTGATAAAGACTGATGAGACTCCGAAGACAAGTGAAGTGTCGACACGCTCAACTATTTCATTCCCTATCACTAGTTCAGGTGCCGATGCAAGCCAACCCTGAAGCAACATTTTGCAGTTCGTCGGGGAGGATCGTATTCCGAAGATACTTGCATTGTTGCTTAAGGTATTCCGATGATAGTCCGTCATAACCCTTGACTCTATCAGTCGTGTTCGAGTAGTGAGCCCGTAAAAGGTTACCATACTTCTTTTGTACACCTTTTGATGACAAACACTGCCAGAGAACCTCACGGTCACCAGAGTCAAACTCTGTCTTAACATCGAGAAATACAGCTAATGTCGGACTCCGAAATGTGTGTTTATGTTCTAGAACCTGACGAAGTGTGAATATTTGGTCTATACAGCCACATCCAGGTCTGAACGCAGCCTGGTTTTCTCGAGTTTGCTCTTCACGCTCTCTAGTTAGCTGTCGAAGCATTACCTCAGCTAATATTTAAGACACTGTATTCGTTAAACTGAATCCTCTGTGATTGTCACAAGAGGACTTTTGTCTTTTCGTGTCGTGCATTTTCGTTCCGCTTATTCTAACTAACTAAGCATTAAAGTCACCTGCCACCGTTACCACACCTGAGAGCTTGGAAAGCTTTCTGAAAAATTGGTGTTTTATCTCATTCGAGCTACATTCAGTGGGAGCGTAGGCAAAGACAACGAATAAGCACTGTCGAGTGTCCCTATCTTTCCGAGTCCATACTGTGGCGTTTAGTCGGATAGTGCACTAACGACTGTCCACCGGGATCCAGTCTAAGAGAGCTAGTTATGCCTTAGAAAATAACTCTATCTTTACGCCAGTCTGGCCACAGCAGGCCTTCAGATGCACGAAACTTAAATCACGACGTTTATTTTGACAAAGTGAGGTCAAATAAATAAATGTACTCGGATATGTATGAGCATATCTGAGATGCAGCATACTACAATGGCACGAGATTCTAGAGTCTTGGCTAAGGAAGCTTGTTACCCTATTTGGCACAAGGTTCGAGCATTGAAAGCACCAACATGTAGTTTAGAGCATGGTTTTAGGAGACCGCAAATAACGTTTCATGTATTCAGATCGCTTATGTCAGCCGCGCCAGGTGATAAAGGGATGCGAGAATGTTTGGTCATGGAGGTAAGAGGGTTATTAGGAGGTGTGGGAAGAATTCGATTGTGACCAATTTGGTCTCCTGTGCCGTTAAGGGTATGAGGATATGAGAAAGAAACTGGGTTAGTGTTGTCCTTAGTGATCTGGGAGTGTGACCATAGAACCCAAGGGACAACTACTTGAGGCCTGTCAAATGGCCTTTTTATGGAAAGTTTTTGAAGTGTTAGCTCTACCTTTCAAAAGGCCTTACCACCGAAGACGGAAATCTGTGGAATAAGGTGGGTTGTTACAGTTTAGGGTCGACCTTTTCTATCCCCTTCCATTGTGAGAAGTCAGCATAACCGCGTACGTTGGTTGTCCGAAGGAAACATCTTAATGTTATCGCACCCATCTACAGTCAGCAGTATAACTTAACCATCAGACCTTACATCACTTGTTTTAGCCTTACCGTTCTCCTATCGACTTACCTAGCATAATAGGACCTAAAGAAACTTGTGTCTCAGCCAATATAGCTCGGTTGTGTCGTCGCGATAGGCAAGCCCTGTCACCACGTCAAGGTATCAACTACAGTTGGCTTTTGCTATCTACAGACTTCCGATTACTGCTCATACTTCTACCTCTACCAATATGGGATTTGAGTTGATAATGCGATCTCTGTGCAAATGTAGTGTGGCAACTTGTAGCTGACTGACTATCTGCAGAATGACCCTATCAGTAATGCCATCATTATATTTGTACAGCTTTACGATCATAAGTGCCTTTTCAATAACTCAATATGTAGTAATGTGTCATTTAAATGATTGATTAAAATATGAATTAATCAACATTCATATATATCTTATTAACTCATAAAATCCACTCAATTGTTTATTTCATTGTTACTTATTCACTCTCGCAAACAACCTATCTGACAATCAAAACTTTAGTGATCTACCATATGATAATTATTATCCAATGGTATCTTCAACCACATTGCGAAGTGGTTTTCGTTTGATTCGTGCAAAATCTTATCCAATCACTTTGCAATATTTAATATGCCAGCATTTATTTCACCAGCAACAAAAACAGCCATCATTTTATGCCTATTGTAATTTGACCACGTTAAAATTCCCTTCTGGTCTTCGGGTAAGTGTTGTCATTAAAGCAGTTATTATTTTAAGTGCTGTTAACAATTTGATTGATTATTAAAAAAGAATAAACTACGAAGTTTTTCGGGCTTAGGGGAAAATAGTTCTGGGAAATAATTTTTTTCGCTATCTATATATTCCTTGGTATCTATGATTTAAATAGTCTTTCGGTGAAAAGGTACTTTCGTGTTACAGATCTGAACACATATTGGTAGTACTTTCCTTCATAATAAGATGCTAGCCGATGACGGAAAATCTTTTTAATCAGGTATCAAAGTTACATGACCCACTATGGTGAATTTTCTCTGAAATGTAAAAAGTAAGTATTGCTAAGGGTTTTCGGGAGTCAGTACTTCTATCTTTTTTTAACATGTCTGCAATTTACCAGTCCTGGAAGAGAACCATTTGTCGTTATCAAAAACGAAGTCACTGTGAGAAATTTTTAGGCAATAGAAGTATCTCTAGTAGTTCATTATTAAATTCAATATTTGCTAATATGTATAGATTATTTTTCAATCAATGAGTCACTAAAATAATTGCTGCAAATCATAGTGAGTTGTTTTGACTATAGGTCCGGTTCTTTCAGTAAAAAACTATAAGCGTTTTGACTAATACATCAATTAATGTGTCCAAAATATTTTTTGTTTACCTTTATTATGAGTGACTAAAAATACAGTATAGCTGATTTGTACGAAAGACGAAATGTCGAGTAATTCTGCATATCTGACCAAACTGTAATAAATGGAACGGAATTCAAATTTAACATTCAACAAAACGTTTTGTTCTATAATGACACTTAATTGTAATGTCAAATGAATTATACTGTTAGACTAGTTTTTTCTCATATCTAAATAATATTTGCATACACTACAGTTTTACATTTGTCAACATGTTTGTAAAGTCCTGGTATTCAAAAACTTAAATCTTTTTCTGCAGCACAACTAGTCTGCAACATATTGGACAAATTTAGAAATATAAAAACTCATTTTATGATTTTCTCTTATGCATACAGGAGATTTTGGGCAACACTCTACCTCAATCACTATTTTTCAGTCAAATTCAGCGGTTATCCTTCAGTTATAACGATGCAAAACAAACACTTTTACCTGTTGACTCACCTGATCCTTTTTTATGGACTAGTTTTTCTCCATCCGATTCAAATAATTTGAACAGTAATACAACTGATGTAAATGAATCCGACTTCGAGCCATACTCTCCAGAAGAGTTCAATTTTTCTTCTGATGATTTATTGAATGAAAATGAGGGACCAGCAGACAAGGAAAGTGATAGTTCTGATGAAAATAGTCTTACCTGCAATGGAATGAATGAAAGAAGTCCTGAAAGCAGTTCTCTGTAAGTTTTTCATTTCACCTAAGAATGTTTTGTTCTCTGGGTTCTTACTGCACTACCAAAGTCTGTCAAAAGTTGTTGGCTCATCGCTAGCTCGGATGGAGTGAACTGTTGCATAGTAAGCTTACACTTTGGTTAACAAACGGATATATCGCCTTCTCCGCAAGTGACGCAGGCTATCAAAAGCTGATTGACCATTCTCTATCCTTATCAAGATTTCGTCAGACACCAGCTAATGTTATAATAATTTTGGAGAGTAATTAGGAAAAGTTATCTTTGAAGCCATTGTGTTCCATACTACTTCATGATATTCTATTCCCAGCAGTTCTTGAAGTTGCCAGTGAAGCTCTGTAAATAACTGACAGTACTTTCGATTTTTACTCGTTTTTAAACCAGCACTTATCATCTCAGCTGACTATTAAGTAGCATTCCCGATATGATAGAACAGACTTTGTTTCTGCATAACTGAAAATTATATCGACCCATACTATTTTATTGTGTATTATAATCACATGTATTTTCTCTGTTGTCTAGCTTAAGATCCCGGAAATTAAAATTCATACTTTTATGTGATTACAGTTAACTGATTGATTTGTGTTAATTGATCTGTGTTATTTTTCTTCTTTCTTCTAATTCCGGAACTCTAGTATGGTTCATGAGGTGTACTGTTCTCGAAAGTTCATAAATGGAAACACCATAGCCATAAATTAAGCGCCATAATATCATATTTCGCGCGTTTATTAATTGGCTATTTCATTTATCAATATCACATATATACTTCAAGTGAAATTAAACAGATATCCATTTATTATCAATTCAGTTACTTTTCCCTCAAGACACTAAACTTGATGTACTCTCAACAGTCCGTTCATTTATTCAACTAAAAAATCCATTCGTAATCTTTTTTATAGATCACTCAGAAAGAGCAGCCTGTTTAGCATTAGTAACCCTCACAAGTAATATTTGACTTGAAGCTGAATACATATACCTGTACTTTATCCACAAGTATAAATTACTTTTGTCCATATGACTAATATTCAATGAGCGTACATGGTTTTATTCAACAAATAAAAAAAAATATGGCGGAATTTTACAATAACTTCATAAATCTCAGATTATCAAGTTGTGACGACTGCTATTTCTGATTATAAGTAATTTCAAGTGTTCGCTGATTTTTAACTTGAAAATCATTTTATTTGGAGATGATTCAATTTTTTCAAATCTCACGTTGATTTCTTTCGTTAATATATAAACATAGGTCTACAACTTCTGAAAACAATCAAAAAAGACGTTATCAAGCTGCTATGTCCGCAAATTGTGTACTAGACAGACTATTTGTTTTGGCTGCAAAATCTGCTAAAAGTGACAATAAATCAAGTGAAATAACATCCGATATAATGCAGAATAAGAGAAATGGGAATTCTGTTGTTTATAATCATTTACTTTGGGGTGAATTTAACGAGTAAGAAGAATTGTTAGAATCATAACTCTTCAATGTTACAGTCGATGCCTTAATGTCTTCTTCATTGAAAAATTATTGACTTTGTACATAAAAAGGCTCATGGGGTTGTGTGTACATTCTGTAACTTTATCTTTTTATGAATAAAAATTTTTTCCAATATTGTGTTCTTGTTTTTGTCTGATATTATTTTTTTCTGTGAACTACTTGTTGAAGGTTTGTTTTAAAAATTGTAGAAGTACATGAAGTTTCTTAAATATTTTGAATAAATCAAAGAACACCCCTTAATTTTCATGAAAATGTTTCAATTCCTTTTATAGCTGCCGTCAGATCAATTTATTCCAATCTTCAAATTACTAGAATGGGCTTGATCCTATTTTTGAAAATATGGGGAATCACAAATAAGAATGTTCGGTAATATAAAAGATGTTTAGGTTGGAAACCTTGTTACTGATTACACTGTTAACTGTTAACGTGTCGGAATTCCAGTTATAGGTGTGGTGACTCACGCTTTGTGTAGAACTAGGATATTTTTCGACTGAGTAGTTCTCGATACTTTGCTTTTGTCTTTCATCGCTTATCTTTGAGTATTAAGGATAACCATGAAACGTTTTTTGAATATATGTACATTGTAAAGAAATTGAAAGTGATGAAAAATATGCGAATTAGAAGTTTGTATTGTAGAGATCAAATGCTACATCATTTTGTTCGTTGATCTTTTACTACATATTGCCCTTTCTATATTTTTATGATTTTCACACTTTTACGCTTATGTAACAACCATGACAATGCCTCTTAAGCTTTTATAAGTCATTTGGAATTCCAGAAACATTAATGCAACCTTTTTATGTTTCCTATGAATTCTTCTATCCATCAGTTGTTTCGTCATAATTTTAAATTTGTATTCATTTCGTTTTCAGGTTGTTAAGTGCTTATCAAAGACAGGAAATCGTATATATATATGTCTTTTTACGATTCGGAAACATGTAATAATGACAATCAAAACTCACACTCTGAATCCAGTCGATCATCTCGAGAATCGTCTCTTCAAAATGTAAATCTAGACAATGAGAGAAGTACCACCACTAGCTTACCTAATAACTTGTTTTGGCGCAGTCGAAGTCAACCTCCATTCGGCGAAACTTCAAACCATGTGAATACACCGGGTTTTTCAAATACAGAGTCCAGTCAACAAGTGTCTTTATTAAACCACACTGACTCAGTTCACACAGTAGGTAGTTCCCATCAAACAGTTGGAGCTGGTTTGTCTGGTAGTACCCGTTCTGTTGGTCTAGGCAGCACTAACAGAACTACTATGGCTGGGACTCCTCGAAGCTCTCATCACCGCCGTATGCTTCGGTTGGCTCGTTGCACACAAAATCGTGATAGTATACCCGGTTTATTGAGTAGTAGCAGCAGTAACAGTAGTCTGCTCGGACGATATCGCACTATAAGTGGAGTTAACTCACGCCCTCAATCCATCGATCCTTCTATTTGTGAATCACATCTGTCCCGTTTGTTGAGATTCTGTTCACTTCGATTTGACGATAGCGTATCAAACGAGGCAGAAACATCGGTCAGAAGACAAGAATCTCCTTCAGGTGACTGTTCAAATGACGAATTTGCTGAGCTTCCGGTTAGATCCGGTTCGAATCATTACAGTCTTATTTCAGCTATCAGATCATCGTCAGAGCAAAATCCACTTTCGCATTCATTCTCTACATCAAATAGTACCTCACAGTCTCAGGAACAACCACTGCTCAATCCCGGTAACAGCCGTACTAACAATACATCTCCTATTTCCTTTTCGTTAATTTCTACTAATTCTGATAATTATAATAATAACGAGCAAGTTGGCAACTCCTCAGCTTGTGTCACTGATGCTTCTGAAACTGATCACACAAGTGTTTGCATCCCGTCAACCTCAAAACAATGTACTGTGAAATTCCCCAAACGCGGAGACCTAGACCATCCTAGAGATGTAGATGGAGCAAGCTCGGTATGTCGAATTTCTCTGCCAATCTGATATTTGGTTGACTATTTTGGAAGCTTCTGTGTTTACATTGTAATTTTTAGATAAATTCTGAACGCGTTTGTTATCGCATACAGTAGCACTCATGTGTAGCTCAAAGATTTCAGTAGTTCCTTTTGTTGTATTTAGGCCTTTTTAATGCTATATGTAAATGCGAAATTTATGTTAAGAAAATAAGGTAATTTATGTCCCATCTGTTTAGTAGTACTTATCTATTAACTACTACTATAGTGTAAAAATGGTTCTAATTTTTGCACCTGTTTTAAGGTTATGTTGACTTTTGTTCTTTGCTAGATTATAAGATTTTCAAATTTGTACACTTTCTTAGCAGGTCAAGTAGTTTCTTTTGTATCAGAGAAAGTAAAACAGTTAATTTTCTAAATTATTCTTGCATTTTATGCACAACTTCTATTTACTGCTTTTGATAACCAGAATAATCCCATTTGTTCACTAACTGAGCATTGACAAATTTACCTAGTCATATTGGACTATCTACATGACAGCGTGGCAGTGGGCCTGCTCGTTCTACTTATATTAGCGTTTCCACTGGATAAATTCAATTTACAAATGGACAAAGCGATGACTAAACTTGGAAGTATATCCTGTACTTACACCCACAGTATACAGTTGGTAGCAATTATGATGTATAATATCGGTACATCAGTCCCCATTATCTGAAGTGATTTTAAGCGCCGGAACTCGCTTTTCACCATCTCAATTTTGTAAACAACACCGTCACCACTAGAGGACAGTGGGTAGGACTCCCCTGACAGTGGTTATATACACATGGCTGTAAGAGAACATTTACAGAGCGAGAGCAGACTCTTCCCTCTCTCAGTCGTACCAGGGCCTGCGGGGTTAACCACTTATTTCCATGTTTCTCATACTAATGCTATGCATCATGATGTATCAACTTCAGGTGGTATCTATCGATAGCTTAAGCAGGGAATTGTATTAGATAACTTTGATATTTTATTGTATATGGTGTTACGTTCAACTCCCTTTTAAGTGAATCAACTGTTTACTTTCCATTTAATCATTTTAGAGTTATCAACCTGAAGCTGATCATGACTTTTATCAAAATTCTTGTTTTTCATCTAAATCCCATGGAAGTAGTGATCATGTCTATAGAACGTTTGCTAAACTTAATGAACTTCGTTGGTGAGTCTGTAGAATGCCTTTTAATTTGTCCATATGTACTGAGTTTCATTCTTATTGTTGATTTCAGATTATGACTTGGGGTCTATGAATTCATGAAGTTGAATTAAGCGTTTGGTTAATCTTATTTTTTCCTGTTACGCTTCGTGAGGCTTAGGTCGCCGACCAGGATTCTCTGTTTTCGACTCTTCTTTACAGTTGTCACCACCTGCTGTTCGTAATTTAAATGTCTGCCTCAAATTTTGGGTGTAACGTATTCTTCAGTCTGCCTCTTTTCCTTCTGCTTTGAGGATTCGAGGTTACTATTTGACTTGTGATGACGTACTGCTGACTGTAAAGCTGTGTGACAGCAGTAAAGTGTTCCCCTCGGACAACCAGCATCTGCAGCGATGCTGCCTTCTCACAAGGGATGAAGGGTTAGAAAAGGTCGACCCTAAAAATGTTACACCTGATCTTACCTCACGGATTTCCGTCTTCGGCGTTAGGGGCTTTTAAAAAAATGGAGCTAACACTTCAAAAACTTCTCATAAAAAGGCCGTGTGTGACCGGCCTCAAGCAGTTGTCCCTTAGTCTCTGCGGTTACGCCTCCAGGTCTGTAAGACCAACACTAATCCAACTTCTTTTTTAGTTTCCTCAGAAAGCACCGTTCCACAGTGTGGGCGACCGGAAAGTGACATCCGCCCTCATGCCCGTAACAACACACAAGACCAACTTGGTCACAGTCAAGTTCTTCGTACTCCCACTAACATCTCTCTTACCTCCATGACTAACCCTTCTCGCATCCCTTTACCACCCCGCACCGCTAATGCAAACGATTCGATCTCACGAAGAGTTATTCCAGGTCTCCTGAACCCCCGTTCTGAACTACATATTTGAGCCTTTAAGATTCGGATCTCATGCCATCTATGTATGCTGCGTCTCGGAAATACAGGATCCGAGTTGAATCATTAGTTTGATTTCACCTTGTCCAGATAAAAAACCAATTTGGTTCACTCTTCGTGTATCCGGAAGCCCTGATACTGCTTCCCCTGGCCTTGATGGTGTTGGCATAGCATTGAGTCCTACGGCAGAAATTGCTCTCGCAGACTAGATCCCAGTAGATATTCGCTTGAGCGATGGGATAGTAACGACTCGAAAAGATAGGTACACTCCCCGTTGCCTCTTCGTTGTCTCCGCCTACGCAACCTGAACTGATATACTTACGTACGAAGTTCTACGTTGTAACTGACTGACCTACGCTCCCACTGACTGCAAGTTGGATGACATAAAAGATGAGTTTTACAGAAACCTACCTAACGCTCTTCAAAAAGTTAGTCGTTCTGACATAATAATGATGGCTGGTGACTTCAATGCTCAAATAAGAAGATTAAGTGGATGGATCTTATGTTTGCGCCTTGCTGGACGTAGGAAAGACACTGTAAAGAAACCTCTTACGGTTCTACTTAATGATAGCAAAGCTGGAAATATAATTCAGGAACAACTAGAAAAACAGTTAGGCAGCTATGTAGTAAGTGATGCCCACGTTAAGGCAGCTTGGAATGATATCCAGAGGTCTCTGGAAACAGCAGTGATATCTGCCGGTAAGGTCAACAATGAGGTTAGGGAGAAACATTGGGTGTCATTAGCATGGTAGATGCTCGGAAACTCATCCCACCACGCTCTAAACATGACGGAGAGCGAATTCATGTTAGGCTCAGGCTGATGAAAAGCCTAAGCGATAATGGCGAACAGGGGTGAGTATCGAGAGCCAGGAAGATGGAAAATGCAGTGGCGATGGACAACAGTAAACAGCCGTTCCAACTTTTCCAGGAAACTTACTAGGAGTCCATCTGTTGGCGAAACTACCTCAGGAAAGGATGGTCGTACCATCCATTTTCAACTCAGGAGATTGGATCCATGACAGAAAACTTCAGGGATCGATTCAACTGGCCCTCAGCCACACTTCGGTTGCCCACTATCTCCAGTCAACCTGAATGGCAAATCGATGTACGTTCTCCGACTCCTAATGAAATTGAAAAGCTATAGGAAATCTAGGGCAATGGAGAGCAGCGGGCCCTGATAGGTTGATCCCTGGGATTTTTAAGGATGGTGGTCCAGGTTTAGCAGTTAGATTGACTGAGATCTTAGGTAGAATTTGGTAACTGGGTATAATCCCATCTGATTGGTCTCACTACCTAATTGTCCCAATTTATAAAAAAGGACAAAAGTCCTCTTCTGATAATCACAGGGGAATCAATCTAACTAATATAGTATCGAAATTATTGGCCTCAATAATATTCCGACGCCTAAAAAAAAGCTCGTGAAGAGCAGACTAGAGAGAATCAGGCTGGTTTCCAACCTGGACGCTGATGTATAGACCAAATCTTCACACTTCATCAGGTCCTGGAACATGGACACCTTTCGACGTCCGATAATAGTTGTATTCCTTGACCTTAAGGCGGCATTTGACTCTGCTGATCGTGAGGTTCTTTGCCAGTGTCTGTCATTGAAAGGTGTACCAGAGTAAGGTAATCTTATGCTAGCTCTCTAATCGAACACCACTGGTCGAGTTAGAGCTTATGGCGAACTGTCATGGGAATTGTTTACTTCACGTGGTGTCCGTCAGGGCTGTCCACATTCTCCATTCTTGTTTAATTTTGTCATAGACTTGATTCTAGATATAACATTATCTTCGTCTGAATTTCAGGAGTGGACCTTACACCGGAAGACACGTTGTTGACCAAGAATATTCAGATAACATAATTTTACTTGATGAAGACACTGACAAAATTCTGGGTCTTCTGAATACCTTAAGCAACAATACAAGCATCTTCGGAATGTGATTCTCCCCGTGGAAATGCAAAATGTTGCTTCAAGATCGGCTTGCATTTGTACCTGAACTAGTGACAGGGAGTGAAATGGTTGAGCGTGATGACGCTACACTTATCTACGGAGTGTCGTCAGTCTTGATAGCCTAGCATCAGATGAAATCTCCTCTCGGATACCGAAGGCTCCATTGGCCTATGCCGACTTGCGTCATTTATGGCGTAGGCGTCTACAAACCAAAGGACAAGTGTACTGCGCAGCAGTTCGCTACGTCCTACTATATGACTGAAACGGCCAGTCAGAGTAGAAGACATTCCTAGGTTACTGGTTTTCGATCATAGGTGTCACCGAAGCATTGCTCGTCTATCCTGGGACAACCGAGTAAGCAATGCTGTCATTAGGGAACGAGTACTATGTAAAGATTGCAGACCAATAGATGAAGTATTGAAACTTCATGTCGACTGCCTCGTCGAGCTGTTTTGTGGTGTGAGAGTATGTAGGTTGTAAGCAAGCTGCGTGCGACCAAACCAAAACATGGCACAAATCTATGAAGTTACTGACAACTGGATTGAGTCATTTTGGTACATGTAGACAACCTGATTGGGGTTCGCGAGATGATAGTAATCGGTGGTTAGAGACCTTGAACGGCATGGCTCGAAACCGTTCGCATTGGTGCAGATGCATCCCTTCTTTGTGTTCTCTCAAATGCTGATCGTCTGAATTCCCCACCACCTTAATCTTTCTTCTAAATTTTTCTCATTGAATTATGCTTCTTGAATAGTATCTTGGAACACTAATCTTCTCCATTACCGCAAATACTTCTATCCACTCTACTTTCTCTGTGTTAATATAGTGTGGCAACCTGAATTGATGTCCGTTCGTACGTACGTACAAAGTTTTACGTTGTAACTGACTGACCAGTACTTCTTCAGCTTCAATCTCATCTTGACCATTAACAAGTAATTTTCTTCTTCATGGATAGAGTCCAACACCATCCTTCCTGAAACTAGTTTTTCTTGTCCAGCCTGCGTTAAACAAGTTTCGATTATTCCATGCACCACTAGGTTATATCTTCAAGTTTCCTCTGCCTTTTGAAAGATTCTTTCAATCTCCAATATTGTGCATACATCACATGTACCTTTATCAATGGTTTCTGTGGTTGTACGAAGTTGCTTCGGCCTAACCTCTGCACCACTGAGGTTAGGCGTTCGCGTGCAAGACCGAAGGTTCTGAGTTCGAATTCTTTGAGGTGCGGGGGTCGTGGATACGCACTGTTGATGAGTCCCATGCGAGGACGAAACGGCCGTCCAGTGCTTCCAGGTTTCTGATGGTGGTCTAACAATGATTGGATGATGATTTCAATGTGCAACAAACACTAATCTCCATAGCTCTTGACTTCCCTAGAAACTCAGTTTTTATCATGCTGCGTAATAACTTCCGAATTCCAGGGCAGAGTTTAAATGGTTTGCTTTTTTAGCAAGTTTGTTTTCTACGGTATGGAGTTGCCCAACACCCCTCGTTTATCCGTGTTGTAGATCAGCAGTAACCTTAGAGGGGTTCCATACACAGTAGGTTTGCTAAATAAGGTAAACATATGTATATTTGAACACAGATGATCTGATAGAGATGTATAGCCTAAGCACAAGCAGTCATAAAAATTACAGGCACATATATGGTTTCTTATTCCATGAATCAATGTGATTGTAAGCACATGTGAATAGCTTTTTAGGAAAGAAAGAAGTATTACTATAAGCTAAATAGATTTATGTAGAGAACACGTTTACTTCCCTTATTTTTAGCTCATGCTAAAACTGCCTACGTCATCTAGAATGAGCATCAGTCATTTCTTAAAGGAAATTCAACTCCGTTCTCTAGATATTTTTTTCAGTTAGCTTTACGTTATGAAACTAAATTGTGTCTAGGTTTTCCATTTCGTTTTTTTTGTACTCTGATATGCGTTCAGTTTACTTTCGATGTCAGATGTGTGTTCAATTATACAGATATTCTACAGGGGCAGGAGTTGATCTATTTTTTATCACTGTCTAACCAGTATGTCTAAATTTTAGTCATCTTCATATCCATTGTAACTCTCCCTGCTAATTAATTCCTCTTTTTCTTGTCTTTTAGTCATGGTTTATTTTGTGATGTAATCTTACAAGCTGGTTCAGTGAAGGTCCCTGCTCATCGAAATGTGTTGGCAGCTAGTTCCCAGTATTTTCATGCTATGTTTACTGGATCAATGGCTGAAGCTCGTTCTCGTTGTGTAGAATTTCGTGGAATCGAAGGTTCCGCTCTCATTCAGTTGGTCAATTTCATTTATACAAATGGTATGTGGCTATTATTCTCAATTAATTTGACCTGTCTGATTTTTATGTAGACTATATCTTTAATCGTATGTTAAACAGTATCAAAGTATCGCATGCTAATTTATCCGGAGACGGACGATTCGACATTTACTTATTCTTTCATCAGATAGCGTTTCTTGGCATGTTTGTATTTGATTGTAAAAATAAGTACTATCCGTTATCTTTGATTGAACTGACTTGGCATACTTTTTTTGGTATGGTAAGTAGAACATATTTATTATGGATCAATAACTAAATAAAGTAAATCACTCTGCTCCACGAGGTTTTTTTTACTGGAGAGCATTGTTTTTACGTATGGTTGTTTCTTGTAATAGAATGTAATAATACTTTTTTTGTTCAAATAAAGCAATGCATTAGTTTTAACGTTCAAGTCATGGAGAATTGTAATCGATTTATTTTCATTTTTGATTTTGTCTTTTTCGTCTGGTTGGTATTTTCAATACGTAAAATAAATGTAATAGTGTGGATAATGTTGTTTTTCTTGACTAATATCTCTACTGTTCTTAAATGGTCATTTGTTTAATTTGATCATGTTATTTCTCATAAGTTTTATTGTATGATCAGATTATTCGAAATACTGTTTCTGATAAACTGACCATATATTTTTTTACATTTGAAATGATTATGACTCACCACGTCGTATTAATAATTACATCACTTTAAGAATTTCTATATATGATATCATCCATATACCTTGAATTTTTCTGTGTTCCAATTGTTGTTATGTTTTGTAGAAATCAATGTCAATGAAGAGAATGTTCAAACACTTTTACCAGCTGCTAATCTATTGCAATTAACAGCTGTTCGTGATATTTGTTGTGAATTTCTCCAATTTCAATTGCATCCTAGTAATTGTTTGGGAATTCAAAGATTTGCTGATTTACATAATTGTCAAGATTTACTTGATTTTACTAGACGCTTTACAGAACAACACTTTGGGTAAATTTAGTTGTTTTTTTTGTGTGGAAAGTTGAAGTACATTGTGTTTTTTTGTTGTGTATGTACATTTATGTGCTGTTAATCTATTTCCTATTTTCCACTCCTTTCAACTGGTATTGGATTTCTGGAAGAAGTAGTTTTCGTCATGAATTAACGAAAACTAAAGAACTTCTGTAAATTGTCAAGCTTTATTTATGTTTAAAACTAGTACGACATCACAAATGGGTTACATAATTTCGAGGATTTCCCACCTAGGGAAATATTTTACAAGTCGTAAAATAAAGAGGAATTGCGTAATTTCTTTTCGTACTGTGTTTATATCAACCAAGTGCTTAGTCTACAAATAGTACTTGTTTAGTACGCTAATTAATAATGTAACGAGATGTCAGGGAATGACATTTCCATCGGTGTGTTACAACATGTGCGATTAGACGGTTAGTACTGGTTTACTACAACAGATAGCTTGTGCTATTTCGAGAAAAACGAAATAATGCTGTATAGTTGCATATCAAGAAAAATATGAAACTGGAAAATAGCAACTGACTTCACACGAAAGGACGTAGTTTCTCTCAATAGGGTTTCTCAGTTAATGACAGATTTTTGTTGCTAAGACATGGGACTCAGGATTGAAATACTGGGAGTTAATTTCTGGTTTGTTAAACATTTATCATTTCAGATTGTCCAATATTGTGCAGCTTTATTTTATACATTTTACTTACTTTTCATTCAAGTGAGCTATTAAAACAAGACGATGAACTTCTAAAACTGAATGCAGATCAACTTATAGAATTAATCTCTAGTGACAGATTAGCTGTTTCGGAGGATCAAGTTTTTGAGGCAGTTCTTCGGTGGATTGCACACAATCCATCTAAACGACAAACAGAAGCTCGGAATCTGTGTTCACATGTTCGATTCGCGTTACTTCCACGAGATTACTTAGTATGCCTAAGTCAATCAGATAATTTTCTAACTTTAAATCCATGGTGTAAAGACTATTTGATTGAAGCGCTCAGTTACCATTTACTACCATGGGATCAGAAATTGCGTATTGCCTCCGAGCGTACAAAACCACGTACTCCTGTTGGATTGCCGAAAGTAAGTATTTTGTTTCCAGTGAGCTTTCAAATTTAGGGTGCCAGATAATTTCAGTTAAGATGCTTTCCTTACATACTTTTACCACATAATATTTGATACACCTTAACATTCTGCCCATGTTTTCTTATTAATTTAAATATTTTATTTTATTATGTCAAATCTAATTTTCAGAAGTGTATTTGCTCTAATATTCATTAGATTTTTTACTTCGTTTGATGCAGTTTGTAAGGTAACGTTATATGGATTATGGAAAATCGTTGTTACCTATGTTAATTTACTATATCACCGGTCCATTCATTGACTGTTTATCTAAATACTATTCATCCTATGGACTGTGGGGTTATTCCTTTCTCTGATAAACGACATAGTTGTATAAAATTTACCTAACGGACAGCAAAACGATACGGATATTTAGGAAGTTGTGACTCGACCTATCCTGAATATTTGGAATTGATTGAGAATCATCTGCAGTTCAGTAATGTCAGGTTTTTGTAATTAGTTTCGAGTCCCACTTTTCGTATGAAGACTAATGATGCGGAATCGAATCGGCATTCAACTCTTCTATCTGACAGTTGGAAATCATTCACTTCAACTTCAGACCATTTCACCCTGACCACGTGACTAAATCATGGATGGCTATATAACTGTAAATGCATCAGTCGAATTCAGTAACATTTCATTTCTACTTAGTTTAGCCAAAACTTTGATCAACAAATGAGAGTCTTACGATAAGTTCGGAAAGACCAATCTTACTATGACTATAACAAAGTAAGTTAATCATGCGAGCTTTGTTGAAGTATTGGAAAAAATGTTATCTGAGGTACACAAATGATATAAAACTGATCTCTCAGATACTAAACGATTCATTGTTGTATCGGTTTCGTAATTTTTGTCAAATTTTGTAATTTAAGTAATCATCCTGTGTGATTCCTTTATCTTTTACATAAATGGATTTCAAAAAGGTCACGAGGTCAAGTAGATTTGGAATGTCAGATTCATAGGATTCACTCAATAATTGTTTTAGTTAACAGTAACATTCAACAGTGCTTGGTCGAGTAACTTCACACATACCACTCTTGTATGAAACATTAATTTTCTTGATATCTTTTACTCTGTCTTGTAAGGCTTTTTCTGACATAATGTTTAATTGCAACATACAAGCCAAAGTTTCCTTCTTTATTTCAATTTCTCTTAGATTCTACTTGTTATTGGTGGACAAGCTCCTAAAGCTATTCGCTCCGTAGAATGTTTTGAGTTTCAAGGTGGTTCTTGGACTTCTTTATCTGGTGATTTTGGACAAAGAGATAACTCTTCTTCTAGCAGTCAACTTTTATCTAATCCAACAACTTCATGTCAATCTACATCTAATGATTATACTAATTCAGTGATTCCTAATGTTAACTGTAATAGTGATAATATTTGTAATCTAATCGTATCTGATCTTCCAAGCAGACGTTGCCGTACCGGCGTGGCTGTTCTAGGTGGATTAATGTATGTGGTCGGAGGATTTAACGGCGCTTTACGTGTACGTTCTGTTGAAGTGTACGATCTTTTACGTAACACATGGCATTCTGGACCTAATATGGAATGTAGACGCGCTACTTTGGGTGTTGCTGTCTTAAACGGTTTAATCTATGCTGTGGGCGGTTTTGATGGGACCGTCGGTAAGATCGGTTTCCTTAATTCATAAGAATTTGTTACCGTGATTTGCAATGCATACACACGTGTTAAAAATGTGGGACTTATCCTCCACAAAATATACTGATGTTACAAGCGGACTTAGAATTGATTCATTTACTAATCGTCATATAGATGAATCTAGTGCTTTTATTATTTCATGAGAGCACGCTAATTTTAGTTTTACAGCCATATAGTGTATTTTGCTAACTGTTCATTGTTTTTATTTGAGAAGTAGTACTTTGGATCCTTCTTTTTATACCTGATTAAGTGTGTTACTATTACCAACGTCCAGAATGGTACTATATTATATTTTTCCATTATTGAACTAACTGTCATTATCTTATAGTGTTCGTTTTATATCTTTTCACAACTTATATGCCAATATTTGGTTATGGGAAATAAAATCCTAGAATTCATAGTGAAAACTCCGTAAAATTGTTGATTTTATTTCGAATACTTCTAGTATTAAATGAATATTACATGAGTTGGTTATGTGTATACATCGTATGCGTAAAACTGAAGTGGATGTACTCAGGTTTTATTCAGTGTTCGGGAGCGAATATCTGAAAACAGTTAAGCAATTTATTGACCGAAGTCTCTACATTTCTCTTCGGATTCATAGTACCAGTGTTAAGAAACTAGTCAATGATATATAATAAGTATTTTACATCAAATTTTTCTTGTTAACTTGAATTCAGTGTTACGCGCAGAAAACTATATAATTTTTCTAAAATAAACTCACTTCTTAATACGTTTGTATTTATAGCCATTTTTCTGTTTTAAAACTCTTTCAAACGGCACCAGGTCTTAATTCTGCCGAAGTTTTAGATATTTGGTCCGGTAGTTGGCGTCCTATTCCATCTATGACTTATCAGAGATCATCAGTAGGAGTCGGTGCCGTAGACGGTAAATTATACGCTGTTGGTGGTTATGATGGTACAGTTCGTCGTTGTCTTTCTAGTGTAGAATGTTATGATCCCGTCAGCGATTCCTGGTCCTTGGTTTCGGATATGACGTGCAGGTAAATTTATCTAATTGTGTATTTGGAGATTTACATGAATTGGTAAACTGCAGATTTTATGAAAATATATAATAACGTTTGCTAGCCATCTACGACTTCACAGTTTAATGATATGAGTTGACTTTAACATTTATGGTATTAGTACTTTGGGTTTGTGAAGACTATTGTATTGTCATTGTTATTATCTCGGACTAAAATTCGTTCTAAAGCCCTGAAGAACAAGGAAAGACTGCACAATCTTTTTTCTGTTTTCAGATAGCAGTATACATCCACAAACTAACCAGGGATTAATTATGACTCCATATTCTGTAGGATTACAATGGCGAAATCAAACGAGTATCTGCACTATCTTAGTTCGTTTAAGTTGTCTACAAACGATTAGGTATTCCCACGCTCATACCACATTTAGATATCGTGTTGGTCCTTGTATCCCGTAATCCGTGTATAAAACAAAGTAGAGAAACTATGACGATGGGCAGGACCTTAGTATCGGATATTCCTGACGTGCATGCAACTTGGGAGCGGAAACTATACATTACCCTAGATGGTGGAGGGTTAAAAGAAGCCGATCAGTGCAAAAATGTGCACCTATTGGTATCGAATACAAAGGGGATGTATCCATGGATGTGGGTCACACATGGGGATGTGGGATGGAGGAATCCCCAACACCTTGCAGGTCTGTGTGTCCAGAGATTACGCATCGCTAGGTACAGTAGGGAGATTTCGAAAATGAAAGGTTCTCTACGGTTGGTTGGAGTTCTGAGTGTTGAAAGGAGCTCATATACCTAACGGGCGGAACTATTTAAAACCCGACCTCAAAGCTTACAAAATGTGATGTAGCATGGGTTCTGGACGGCATCATTTGCACCACATATCATCTAAGAGCGTCTTAGAAAGTATAACCGAGCAGAACTAAACGGTCTATATCGATCGTTAATCAATGACTCAGGTGGTTCAACATATTCGGAAGGAAATAACTGATAGGAAACACCATATGTGGAGCCCGCGACGTTTGGCATGGCAGGGATAGACGCGTCTGTTTCAAGATGGCTCTAGCCTACAAAGTACGAAGACAGTCGTCCAGAAGTCATGCTATTTAACCGTACTTAGTTCCCACCTGGCGCTATACTTATGGGTCCATTTTACCCGCTGCCATGGTAATCCCGCTTAGTACCAATCTTCCTGTAATGGTGCGGTGCGGCTTGGCAAAAGTGGCCTTTTCGCTTTGCTGGGTACGTGAAGTCATCCTCACGGAAGCGTGTGTTTCGGCTTTTCTTTTTGTGGGACTGTCAATCCTCGCCTTTTGCAGGTCTAGAGGAACCTAATCGATATGTCTATCAACGATCCGTCGAGGAGTTTGCTATACGGGCGTTAAGGTGCTTAAGACTGGTAGTTGCTATGGCTACTGGTTGGTTCACGGCTTGGGTGGCTCAGCAACCCGTGGTGTCACGATCAGCCAGATATGCTCACTTCACTGCCTTCGCCAATTGCAGAAGTGGGTTGTGGTTTAGTTGAAAGGATCGAGTTGGCTCAAAAGTCCATGCGCGAGGGTATCTACTCTCGCTCCAACTGATAGGACGTCCTGCTATTATGCAGGAGGACATAGTACAACTCAGACGTTCCTTTGGGTGAGAGGAATCGTGCGTAATCAGCAGACTGCAAGACTTTCTGTGTCATGTAAGAGCGGCACATATGCACGTGCATCCTGATTGCCTGTTGCTTTATTATTACTATTATTATTATTAATCGTTCAGGTTCTTTGATTTCAATTACCATTCAATATTATATATACATATCCAATATTATACTTATAAGGCGAAGTGGACCTTCTGTTTGTGAATTAAACAATCGTCTCTATGCTGTTGGTGGTCATGATGGACCAACTGTACAAACTTCAGCTGAAGTGTTTTCTCCCGAAACAGGAACTTGGCAACGTATAGCAGATTTAAATGTCAAACGTAGAAATGCAGGTAAGTACTAAATAATAATGCGTTACAATAGCGTACTTGGATCCAGTTGAGAAATGGTGCGGTTGTAGGGTCAAAGCGTAACAAGTATAATGTTATTGTTGAAAAATTAAAGGATTTATTTTCCACTTTGAAAATAGTTGTCTTTTTTCACATCTTCTGGACTTTAAAACACTATGATCACACCATACATTCTGATCCGACACTCTTCTTTCCAATAGTAGCTTCTAGCTAGCACTCTGCTGCACACTACTTGGAATCCAGTTGCGAGTAGTATCCACCACAACAGTTATGAAATTATGATCATGATTAGAAAGTGGATGTTCACTGATAACTGAGCTGTCTATTTTGGACCCCCTAAGTTTTTTACTTATCATAATAATACTCACACTAGTCTGATGATATCCTTATCATCGAACGATTTCGAGATTATGATGTTTTGGATACCACTAATTAATCTAACGGACAAGTTAGTGATATCAGTGCTATTTTGAATAAGAGTAGAAGAAATCGCATTGTTGGAAGATTCTACAGTTTGTCATGAAACGCCACACCACAGATAGTATGTCAACAATGAGTGTCGAGTTCGATTTTGAACGGCCATCGGGAATGTCTTGTAATAACTTCTCATTCGGCATATTTGTATACTATTTTGGAAATTAAGGATTGTGTATACTAGTTGCAATATCTGCCATTTTATTTGTTGGCTTTGTTCACAATAAGGTGTTAAAATTTAAGCATATGATCAGTAAAAAGGGATATTTTATTGTTCATTTGTATTTCATAGGTGTATTGATGTGTTTCACTGAGGATTTCACTCAGAATACCAAATTTTAGCTGTGTATATTTCTCATTAGTTCTCCGATAAGTTTCTAATCATATTTTTATAGACAATATATCATATATTCCTTTTAAGCTGCATCAGATTTTACATTTATTTGAGGGATCGGTAAAAATGTTTGTACTATTAAAAACTCAAAATTTAGGGTGCCTGACTTCCAGTAAATAATGAGTTGCTTATACGAACCCAGTTACTAATGTTTTTTTCGATAACTGAACTGTAGCATTATGCCTCACGCAATAGCTTTCAGCTACTCTCACACTTGGTCCTCCTGTGTAACTTGTATGTACTGTTAAAGTTGAGTTTTCATGGAAATTCTGTCTAACTTGGATCATCCTTCATGAGTGGACTTGTTCACATTTCATCATTTTAGTTTACTCATGTGTCTAGATCTCTTGTTTCTGTTCTTAATCAATTGAATTCAATTAAAAGTCAACTGAAGTGTAGAAAATTCATCGGAACTTTGTTGGTTGTTAATATGATATTCTTGAATCCTTAGAAAAATTCACAAAATGTTTCTTTCCCTTTAAGGTTTGGTTGCACATGATGGTTCCCTTTATATTATCGGTGGTGAAGATGGTGAGAACAATCTGACCAGTATAGAAAAATATGATCCTGCTTCTAATACATGGTCCATACTTCAAAGTCATTTAACAATTGGTCGAAGCTACGCTGGTGTGGCCATTGTTGAACGAAATATAATCTAAACGTGCATTTTGTATAGACTGCTCACATGCACACTCGTATATGCCGATGTGTACAAATGCATAATTATATGACACTGAAGTGGTTTGTAGTTGGAATATTAATTATTTATTTCACAGTCCACTTACCTTCGAGTTTTATTTTCCTACAGTATCTTGCTAATAATTTTCATTTTGGGATTTTTTTTCGTTTACCTACGTATTTATTCTTACTGCTTTTATTAATCGATTTTGTTCTGATATGTTTATTTATTGTGCAGTTTGTTTTGATTCATATTTTTTGTTTCATGGTGTATAAAAAATGGTAGCATTAATAATTCATCATGAAATGGTGATTTTGTTCTCATATTTTTATATATATATATACGAACTTTCTAATTTATCACCATGTTTGGCGTATTGTAAGCGCGTACACACTGAAAATTTACTAGGGTGCATCATTTACTTCAGTTTGTGTTCTTCTTTATTACTACAGTTTATTCTGTCTTAAATAAAAGAACTGATGAGTCATCAACACATCAAAACTTATTGCTCTGTTTTTGTTTTTGAAAAGTTTTAGCTCATCTATCGTAGTTTCTGGATCACGTTTCAAATTCACACACCCATCTGTGTCAGACTAGCTTGTTTAGTTCATTTTCACTAACACTTGTTCTCGACCTAGTAGTTGCATAGTATATACTATCATGCCTATCCCTACCATGTAGTTATTACTGCGAGCTATTAATCTATCTATTAAGCAGGTGTGATCTGTTATTTTAATCTATAACTAACCAGGATAAACATGACTAAATCAGATTACGGAATATGCACCTGAGTGAATAGGTTACCGTAGGGTTTATCGTGGAAAATTCTCTTTCTTTTTTTGATAGGATACAAGAATTTATTTCATTTTACCTCAGTTATAAGAGGAATGCCTTCGTATACATGAGCAACAATGATTCGTTTCAAAATCTTGATGTTTCATATTAGTATGATGATTGAATTTAACTGGATCGCTCATTATTTGATTGTTCGGGCAATTTCTTCGATTTGTTAATTTCTTGACGTAGATATTCAATTTGACTTGTCAGTTCTTGATTTCTCGATGAAACCTGTTTCAATAACAATAAAATGTAAAGAAATGATGATAATTATACAAAACATTAATTTGTGACTTAGTTTGTACCAATGATTCTCTATTAAAGAAGTTTTTTTACTGTTTGTGATGTACAGCTTTATTTATACGTGTCATAATCACAAGGTCCGGAATAATGCGGCGAAAGTGATAGTCCAGGCTTTTTAAGTTTGAAATAAAGATCTCCGTGGAAGTACTCTTAGTTGACTGATCAGACATTGAATTCATAAGACCTACAAGTTCGAATTTTAATTTAGTGGAGTTACTATAGTAGTGCTAAATAAATAATTGGCTAGTCGCTATAATACTAATATCGTGTAAGAATTAATTGAATCCAGTAAATAAGTGCTGGTTGCTGTAATCTTGTGTGCGACTAAGGATAGTAACTACCTACGATATTCAAGGGAACGAGAGAAGAGTTAAAATCTGAAACCTATCGATTAGAAAACAAATACTTTATTCACTGGGCTACTTTTGTATACATGGGAAAGAATAAGTGGTCCTAACTGAACAATCAGCTTATATGAGTGCTTTGTAGGTAAGCTAAACACCGCAGATTGAATTACTTTGATTATAGCATTATTAATACTCTAACCTTATACATATTCAGATGATCAAGTTTCGTGTCATTAAAATAGTGGTTGGTCACAGTTATTTGTACATGTGCGAAAACTAGTCAAAATTTGGGAATATTTGATTTACTACCAATAATTGATTTCTAATTATCGTCGCATTATTAAAACAAAAATAATATGGGGGATTTATATTTTGACTTAACAGGTAATAGTTGCAAAGGCGGTTAGGTCAACAGTTTAAAATTTCATAGATAAGAATATTGTGCATCACAATAAATGAATCCTGGTGTATTACACGAAATTGAGTTGGTTAATCTCAATTTAAATCATATTAATCGACGGTTCCTAACGTAGTATGAAATGAATGTTGTAAAATCATATACATTATGTCAATCAACGAACCAATGCTAAACCTTTTTCTTGAACATGTGTTTTGCTCGTCACTTGATATGCTTGAAACCGTCACGAGTTCACTTTAGTCGATAAACGAGGACGAGACAATGAACCAGTGACACATTATGCTACTCTGATCCGTTGCCCAAAACTGACGGAAAAGTTTTGATATACCGTGGACAAACACCCAGCAAACACAATGATCTCAAGCACACAAATCGCGTTTATTTATACATCACAGAAACGTCCTTGGGACAGTCACAAAACAGCATACTAAAATGATACACGAACTAATCACAACCAAGGCTTTTCCTGGTGGGAAATGTGACCTCAAGGTCATCAGATCAGCCCATTAATAAAATCCAAAATTGAGGCCTTTATCAAGCGAGTTCTGGGGATCTAACGTCCCCGACAACATGTCAGCTTTTTTTATCGTTCATTAATGTCCGCAAATTGTTATAAATGGTGAAACTTTTAAAATGTGTACATTGTACATTCTATCGTATATTTTCTAAGGTTCTCGCTAATCATTGAGCTAATATATGAGTTCCGATGAAAATTGACGACCTTACACATTTTTCACAAAATAAACTAAGAAATACTTTTTTTCTGTTAATCTTGGCTTATTCATTATAGTTTCCTCTTGACCATCATATAGTTTTCAACTAAAATAAAGTTTCAAACATTTTCTTACAAAGTGTCCGGTTGATGATTTACCCTAGTGAAAAATTCTTCAATTGTTATGAGTAGCTAATTTGAAAATCACCATCCAAAACTTGTGTCAAGGTATCAGTGTTAGTAAAGAATATGCCATTTATCTCATCTGTAATCAATTTACAAGTCATTTAGAATTATTATTATTATATTTAACTGAAGTCTCACTTTATTTACATACTGTGAACAACGGTATGCATTCCAGAAGGAACTGTGTGTGTGTGTGTGGTATTGTTCATGAGTATTAACTTACTAAATCTCATATAATCCAAATTTAAGGGTTCTTAATTCAACGAAAGGAAAATCATCCTTCAGGGAATCAGCTCAAAGTTATCAGAACATAACCAAGCAAAAAATTGTTTATTTTAATTTTTTTCGTCTGGCTGTGTTTTTCTTTCCATTCACATACATTGCTTAATTGTGTCGCTAGGTTGACTTGCACATGTAATGCAGGAGAATGTATGGCTGTTTAGCTTTCCCAATAAGAAACAAGTTTTTTCTTTATCAGTTGTGTTTCTAAAAATGTTTTCGTTTTACCGGAAAAATAATAAACTGTAAATTCTAAACTTTCTTCTTTTACTCGACACAACAACACCAAGCCAAAAACTTACATCTTCAAATTTTTTTCTTAAACTGTCATATTGATGCATTAATTTCGCTGTACCTTGTTCATTTGCTAATCGATGATTGAATAATTTTGATCCGGCGGTCAGTTGCGCTGCTTCAAGTTCATGTTTTAATCGTTTAATCTCTGTTTTATACTGTTGTAATTCACTATGTGATACTGGTCCGGGTGCACACTTCAACCGTTCATTCTCCGCTTGACTACGTTGTAAGACTTTTTTTAGACAAACTATAATTTTTTCCAGTTCTTTTGGAGATTTTCCACTTTCACCAATCTGTTAGTGAAAATAAGTTATTCGTTTGTTATCAGATAAATAGGAAATGTACATTGATTAATTTTTTACGGTTTTTTTTTAGAAACTGTATTCAGCTTGAGTATTATTAATGTGGTCAATAGTTGAGAGCCAGTGACTGATGATAAAAAAAAGTAGTGAACAGTTAATTTGTCCGTGTTTAGAAGTAGTAAATAATACTTCGTCTCAACGTAATATGCAATTATTCCAAAATCTTTCAAATTATTCGCAACACATATTAGTGCTCAAGCACTGAATTCACATTCAATGATCAACAGTTTTGAACTTTAATCGGCTAATTAGAAATATCAGCTAATAGTCGATACCACCTGATGATGATGGCATTTATCACTGAGGATTTGAAGGATTCTGAAGTAATATTTCGATAGTCACCAATATTTTAGGGTGTTTTATCAACCAAGCCCTTATGTAGTACCATTACGCCTATACATTATGAATGCTATACATACTATGAAATTGATCAAGTATAAGTACATTAAAGGAGATTTTTACTTTTAACAGAAGGACTTAAACCCAAAAGCTTTAATCAGTAAGTGGAAAAAATGGGGACAACTAAGGTCAACTCACAAATCCTAACAAATGCTTAAGGCTGTGTTAATTTTTAAAAAAAAGAACATTTTCATTATGTGAATGGTTTTATATGCTCAGGTTTAAGTCTTTCTCTATGAGAGAGCTGGTCATATAGCATTACTGTTTAAAAAAAAAGTGCGCCGACATTGAGGAACCACGGTGTTCACTTCATTCCAATGTCCAAGTGTCTGTAGGTTTTTCCCTAGACTGTTATAAGGATCAGTGATGTAATGATTAAGCAAAATTATGATGACTAGTTATAATTAAACTGGTTCTACATTCTGAACCAGTTGAAATATAACCTTTTGTATTACGAAAGCTTTCCTTATTACTCGTTCACCAGACAAAAAAAGTATTTTAATATTTTTCCACAATTTAACAATAATAAAACAGTCACCACTCATCATTGTTACCCAGAATTCATTTTGTACTATGCTTTTTAGAACTTTTAAGTCTGTTTGATACAATTATAAGCAGCATGTGTGCATTAACCAATGTCTAAATGTTTAAATTAGAGAAAATTTAGAAAAGCAAACAAAACATGCCTCAATAATCAGTTGACGACCAATTAACTACAATAGTTTTCCTTCTTTTCATGTATGATATTTGTTATTTATTTGCACAATTCTACTGTATTCATTATTATAGTAATAAGAGGACTTCAGTTATTGTTACGAACATTTGACCTTGGGAAACAATAGTAATTGTCATTACAAGCAATAGTCGTTGTTAATAGTAACAGTTAATTATATTGGTTAAGAATGAAGAAACAACTGCCATATATAAAAGGAATTGGTTTTCAGTTTTTTTTTTTTTAAAACAAAACCCATCAACATTCATTCATCACTTCTACTACTACAAAAATTCAATGAAAGAACTCAATGAATCAGGATTACGTCGACGTATGTCGATTAAAAATCGAGAGTTATCATCCAAACAAGCTGATCATATAAAGTTGTTGCAGAACACTAATAAAATGTACAATAAATCATCCAATAGAAGATATATGTCATATATTGATAAAATACCATTTACATGTCATACAACAAAACCGGATTCACGAATAATAAATATCATTGAAATTAGTATTATATTTGGTGTACTATTAACTGGTTATTTTGTTTATTATCATTCTGACAAGATGTATATACCGATCATGAAATTCTATGCTCATTTAGGTGTTAAGGTAAGTCATAAGTAATTATGCAAAAAGCTTTTTTTTTCTTCAATAGAATGGGCATTTATTTTCACGCCAGATAAGCGATAATTATCGTTTATTTTTTAATTATTTTTACTGTTGTCATTATTGTCATCTCTGTCATCGTCTACTTTGATGGTTATTTTGGTGAGAGGCTTTGAATAATTATTCGGATCACGAGCCGATAACCGACATCGGTTCGCTGATAATCATATGGTGTGATTTAGCTCTCAAGTTATTATTATCTTTCATGATGAACAACTTCCTTACGCTGTCAACCAGTAATCTCCAGCCAGTTTTATCGTTTCCATTTGTTCTCAAAAGCTGCTATTCATCCTTTTGACGTCTGCCTCTAGTTTCGGGTCCAATGTAACTGTCGATTTAAGTGATATAAATTTATTCAGAGTTAGCTAGATATTATGGTGAAAAACTAAACTGATGATGACGACTGCCAGGACACCGAATTGATGACTGACCCTGAGACGTGTAGTCATTTCACGATGTTAACGATTTCTGGCCTGAGCGTTATTAGAAATTGGCGTTTAAGATAACTGTGATCTATGGATTTTGCGAATTGTAACCACTCTAATCAGTGTAATATTGACATGAGCGTTTCTAGAATAGTAAGCGTAGTCCGTTTATTTGTTTAAAACTACCACTGCAAGAGATCCTAATCAAAAATGCGATGTTTTGCATAGTTCGCCTACAGATTTAAGGGATTTTTATTCACATTGTTATGAGTATGATGTACGCATTTTATATTAAGACAGTTTTACCAATTGTCGTATAGTTGATACAATCTCTTCAAGAATTTAATTATCTACAAAACCCCACCGCTGGTTTTTTTTAAATACAAATTAAGTTAGCACTACTGCTGCTGTTGTATAATTCAAAACATCTTTAAACAAAATTGCATATAGGATGAAAGTCGGGCAATAAATATCTCACGTTTGGATAAGCACATGAAACCACTACGCAGAAAATACTAAACAGTATTATAAAGGAAACTAAATATTTTACTGTAGACTATTTAAATATTTAGAAGTTGTACGAATAAGTTTTACTTAGATAATGAATACTGAGAAGATTATTTATTAGACAGATAAAGGTTAAACAAACTACGCATTTCACACTGAAAATAAACCAATAACAAACAATGAAAACGATTCCGTAGAGAAGATTTATGAAGAGGTCAAAAATAAATACCAATAAGATAGATTTGATTGACAGAAACATAAGAAGACTGTGTAGAACGTCCGCGATCAATGAGTTTTATTTATTTTGGCGATTCATCCGATAGTCTTAATTTAAACATTTAAAAGAATGAGTGCATCGAAATGTTTGCAAACTTGTGAATATCTTATTCACATTAGACTTATGTGAACAAAGTATTTCTTTCTTAATTCAGTAATCCTAAAAATCTTTTTGGATCTGTATTGAAAACAAAACAATATGATGAAACAGGTTAACTGAACATGTAAATATATTTTTTCGTAAATTGATGGACATGTATAGATCACTACCTCAATGTGTTTAAATAAGAAGCATCATGAATATGATAAGTCAACAAATGTCAATTGAAACACTTTTTTAATCGTTTAGATAGGTTTCTCATATGTTGTCTCAAAACTATGGATTTAGTATAATAATGGGTGCTAAATGACGAACCTCATGAAGCTATACATGCATGATTTGACTTTGTGGGATGAAAGATATACACATTAGACAGGTAACCGTTGTCATGTCATGACACTCTATTGGTTGAATCACAAATATGATTCAACTAAGTAGTGTGTAATATTAGCAATCACAGAGCATATGGTCCACTTTTGATGCTATTTAAAATTATTTTTTAAGTTGGCTTTCACTTGAAGTACATCATCTAACATGATTTTTCTTTTCTCCTACAGATTTTCAATTTTCTACATCACAATATTGTACGTAGCGTGTTCTTTAGTGTCCATATGTATCAGTTATTTTGAGTTAGAAATAGCATAGTTAAAATCTTATTCCATAACCCAGCAAGGGATCAGATGTATTCTTTAGTCAATATGTCAAGATAACTAAGTGATCAAATACAGGTTTATGTATTTGACTCGTAGTCATAGTTTCTTATAAATAATACACTATCAGTTCGTTTGCTTAAAATTAAGTGAGCAAGCCAGCGTTCGCTTATACAGTCGTATGGCTGAGTTATGTGTTTTAACTCAGATATTCGATAGTCAACCACTCTATCGTATAATTGAAACAATTGACAATATGAATTCAAAGAACAACGGAAATATATAATAAAACGGAAATCAAATAATTGTATCTGAAGAGCAGAATATTAATGCAGAATCAAAATAATGCAACAACTAATTCCGGTCGATAAACTACTGTGTCAGAGAATCCAGTAAACAAATAAGTTTTACTACCATATGACAAACTCAAATATGTGAAGTAATAAAAAGGCCATAAATTGACATCAACTTTGTGAATGGTTTTATTCATAAAGTTACCATTAATCAAGTTTATTTTTTTACAGTATAATTAATCGACTCCTATTTTTCCTGAAATTTCTTTTTTGAAACGATTTCAAGTGAGAGTACATATGTTCCCTAATTTTCTCTCTAAACATGACAATAACAAGTGGAGATGCTTATTTTAAAATTATTCTAAACATTTAGGATTAGTAGCATTATGATCACGTGTAAATTTGAAGCATTTAAAGATTATGATAATAGTGTGACAGTTATTCTAATAATCAGTACGATTTTTATCATGATTACCTAATTTAAATAGCTGTAGTCCTATTCCATTACTGTATTTTTGTTTCGGAATCTGCGTAATTGACATTTTTAATAATATGGAACTATCTATCGAGATTTAGAGAGATTTTGCTTTTTTCTTCTCCTCACTCCCCACTTCTACACGGTGTATTCACATAAAGGAGGCTCAGAATCGTCTCAGTCAATACTTACTTTATCATGCTAATACAAGAGAACAATATGAAGAAGCTATTTACTGGTTGAAAATATCTGCTATTCAAAATAAAAATCCAATTGCATCATATAACTACGTGATTGCACATTTCAAAGAACACGTTACAGAAAGTTATTTAACAGCGAATGAAGTCAATGACTTACTGATTCATGCATTAAATAATGGAGTTTCTGAAGCGGAACATTTAATAAATCATTGTAGTAAATTA